TAGTTTTGATGCAAAAACGCATGATCGCACCGGCTCGCCTGGTGCGTTCCAGCCTTTGTTATTATTCATCTACGAGTGAATGAAATTTGCTTATTCAGCGCCTGGCAGCGAATTTGACGCTCATCGCATCGATAATTCCATCCTTCTGGACACTTTTTTTGGCATGTTTTGTTGCCTCGCCACATCATTGCTATAGGACTGGCGCATTTCTTCTTTCTGGCACACTTGCTTTTCTGTCTTGGCTTACCCGAGTTACTTCATTGAGGATGTGCTCTGTTCTGCTAATTTTTGTTCTCCGTCGTTTTTTTTCATACATTAAAGATGTTGGCGTAGTAGAATTGAAGTACAAGTATTTTAACAACGGTTGAAATAGGAGGAATCGAAAAGGAAGGTGGGGAATGAGAATTACGAAATTAGTAAAATTATTATAACGGCAAGAAATGTTTTGGTCCATTAAGTTGTATACATTTCTTACCATTACCACAATTGGACCTGATCAGTACGACAAAGTAATACTTTCTCGGTCATGTTCCATTCAAAATACATCTTGTGGTTTGGTAAAGGTTATCTTTCTTGCTCTTTTTATTTTCCATATAACCCCGGCTCAACTCGTTATTTATTTCTGTTGTTTTTCCCGAGAAGACATAACTGTTCAAGGGTTTTGCGCACTGATTTTCGATTTTCATTTTGAGCTCGAAGCATTTGCGCTCTCTCCATCCGTTTGGTTTTTCATCGCTGCACTTGAATTCCAGTTTCCTTTGCATTGGCCTCAAATTAATTCAACATACTCTGTAACATTTGTGGTTTTAGTGGAATATCGTCTGCGTAAATGAGCACCTGGAAAGACCAGCTTTCGGTGAAAAAACTCTCTGTTAGCAAACATAAAAGAGTCTTGTATTCTCAGCATTACTATACCAGCTACGTTATTGTGAACATTTAATGTACAGCTTTCTAAAATCTGCTTATTTTATCGCATTCCAAGGGTCATAAATCAGGCGCAGAGAGATCTAATTTGTGATAAATGGCATATTGAAGGTAGATGCTGTTTCTTTTCTTCGATCTGAGCACTCCTGTGAGCTTGCTGCGCTTCAGAGCTGTCTTTCTGAACAGACAAACCGTATGCTGGGTACTTTCATGGTCCTTCCTCCTGCTTAAATCTTTCCTGCGCCAGTTATATCCAGTTCTGTTGCATCCCTAGGATTCAGTGCACGATTAACTATTTTAACATTCCTGTGATGGTCTCAGAAATATGTGATTATCCCACCGTTCTTTCGTGGTTTGTGCTGCTACTTTCTAAACAGAATTTTTAAAAAGCCCTGCTTTATAGTAATTTTTTTCAGACGATTGATTTTACTCAATGTCGCGTAGATACAATTCCTGACTTCTCGCGATTTACGCAATTAAAGGTAATCATTTGCTCTGCTGCATAGCTCATCTGATTGCCTCATATAGCCATAGATTGTTGCTGTTTTGTAGGAGATAGGCTTGCGACAGAATTTATTGACCTCAATCAATCCTCGCATCACAGTTGTTGGGCTGATAAGGCTGGATCTGTACGACAATCAAATTGAGGTAAACATTTTTTGTTTTCGTGGGAACTAGAAACAGTTGTATGTCGAGATTAACCAGCTCGGCGCTGTATGTTTAACTTGTTTGGCAGTCTGTATGTGCTTGTTTGAAGATGTTGTAACTGTGCGTGCTTGTCCTGATTCTTCTGTCCACAAGCTCATCCCTTTGTACTTGCTATTAGCCTACCTCGATTTGACCTTTTTTCGAAATTTGTTTCTGCAATTTGTAAATGGATTTGTCCTGCTCAGTACTCGTAGCTTCTGGTTTTCGCAATCGAGGAGAATTCTTTTTGCCTTTAATTCCTGTATTCCCTTCCTTTACAACAATTTCGATTCGTTTTGCTTCATATGGGCAGCCCGGTGTGAAGTTTAAGCGGTACTGTTTTGGATAGGCGCGATAAATTTTCGAGAACTTATATATATGTTCGTAATCGTTTGATATTTCGTATGCATGAAATAATTTCAAACTCCACGTTATCATCAACCGACTTTGTTGCAGAATGCATCGTTGATTTCGGAGTGTTTGTGCTCCAGAGATCTCATATGCATATCCTTGTGTCCCTGTATAACCTGAAGGAGACAATTTTGTATAGTGCAGTAAACTGTGATTGAGCATTATTACCAATGTTTTCAGGTGATTTCAAATCTGGACGAGCTTGTAAACCTTGAATACCTGGATATGAGTTACAACCGCATCAAGAAAATTGAAGGTCTTTCTGGCTTGGTGAAT